ATAGTGTTTGTGGACAGGATATCATGTCTGCATCTTATATAATAAATAACCACTAAGACAACAACCTGCACTGTATTAATTATTGAAACTGTGCTAGTAATCAGTTTTGAAATTGTCTCATTGCTATTTGTTTCTCAATAAAATTATTTTTTAAAAAAAGAAAAGAAAAAAAGAAGAGCCTCCTCTATCCACAGCTAATTCTTACTCATCAGTTACGCTCGTAATTAGGAAACTATTTATGAAAATCATTTAAAAACTAGCATTCTCCAGGATTATCCTGTTTCATACATGGGCTTCTTCTCTGGTTTAGCAGCTTGTCTCTGATACATTGCCTACCTTCTGTTCCAATTCAGTCATTCTGGAGCTCAGGAGATCCCTAAAAGCCAAAAGCAATAGCAGTTCATATTTAAGTACAACAAGCACGCTACTCCAAGCAGATCAGTCCTCCACACTAAAGCAGAATGTGCTTCCACAGCGCAGATAAGCTTGAGGCACCTTCAGGAGGATGGGTGTACTTTGAGACCATGATGCCGAACGAGGAAACGAGAAGACAAGGCTAAATACCCCATGGCTTCCCTTGTGTGAGAAGCCCGTGACAAAGGGACCGAGGTAACGGACCTAGACGACAGACAGGTGATAGGAGACATGCTGGTGTAGCTTTCCAAAAGCGGAAGGGCATGGAGGGGTAGAGGAGTGGGCTAGGGCAGGGGATCAGTAAGGAAACACACGGTGTCCTGTGCGTGAACCAGTGCCATGCGAGGAGTGACACACTGTGCACTACATCCATGTACTAAAAAGAAATAGGACTAGAGCCTTTACAGTAACAAGTAGACTTGAGTATGAAGAAATACGTGTTCTGGAGACGGTCACCTTCACAAGTAGAGGCAGCTGAAAACGTGCCCCCTCTCTGCTTCTTGTCTCTCATTGTTGTAATATTCCATAAACCCTATCTTAATGAAAATACTTTTTGTCTTTCTAATTTGTAAAGATCATTTTCTCTTCCATGTATTTACATGGAAGAACTTTTCATTTACTAAAATAAATTCTAGGACAAAGCTGAATAAAGCCAGCCTATAGCACTGAGTAAATGTGCCGTGTAAAGTGGGGCCGAGGAGATGGCCTAGTAGAATAAGTGCTTGCCTGGCAAGCACAAGGGCCTGAGTTCAATCCTTGGTTCCACTGCAAAAAAAAAAATCAGCTTTAAATTAGTTTACATTTATTTTAATAGATATAGATCCAGATACCAATGTACTGTTACTGTGGTTTCAGGTCCTAGATCTAAAAATATAAATAAAAAGCAAAGAGATATGCTTTTTCCTTCAAGGAAAGAAAAAGGGAAAGCAACAGCTCTTCATGCAGACCCATTTTAAATTTCTAAGCAGAAAGAACTAATCTGATACTCAGCTTCTGAGAAGAATAGGAATCTTGCGTCCCTGTGAAGAACACGGAGCTCAGAGTCCAAGTTCTTAGGCATCCTTCCCTGCCAAACCACTGATGAGAGAATCCTTTGACATCAGCTCCTGATTTGCGAAACAGCAGTCATCTCTTGTCTATCTACAGATACTGCTGCTAGAAGACACAAGCCATGCGCCCCGCGGACAAGCACCGGCGAGCGGGGCCTGGCGGCCCCCTTCCCCTGCCCGCAGAGCAGGGCCTTCACGGGCACCATCGCGCCGAAGCTCGCTTGGCCGAGCTTTCGCCGTTCGCTCGCGTCAACATCGCCTCTCCTGTTGCCTACGCGCTGCAGGACTGCGCTTTGGATGTTTCCAACAGAGAGAAACCTGATGTGAACTACAAACAATTTGTGACGCTAACACAATCACCTGATATAGTCTTCGCTTTTATTCATCTTCTTGGAAAGATGCTTCAGAGCGTTCTGTCTTGGAAAGGTGGAGTAAGAAATGGCAGCCGGGTACTCGGTGTCCTCGCAGGACACAGGGCAGCTGGAGTTGTGTGTTCCCATGGTGCACAGTCCCTTCAGCTCTATGTGGTCTGAAATGAAAACCAGGACAGGGAAGAGAAGATTATCTCACAGTGGGGAGGACGGAGGTTGGTGAAGGTGACAGCGACCTCAATCCCAGGGCCCAAGAGCGGCCGGCCAGTTTTGTCAGCGCCGGATCCGCGATGGTGTTGACACTTGGCCGCGAGTACAGGAACCGCAAAACCCATCAGAGCTGTTATCTTCAAATTCCTTAAGATGCTCCGAGTTCAGATCTTTATTAGGAATAAGAAATTCTTCCAGGAAATCTCTGGGTCATTTCGAAAAGTTACTTAGCTCTCTGGATAGGAGAAAGATGGGGAGTTGTGTGACCCTGTGTCATTTTGAGAGGAACTTTCAAACATGATCCTGGCCGCAAATGGCTTAGGTCAGACGGAAGTTGTCCTCACGCCTGGCTCAGGGTGGCTGCACCAAGTGCGCTGCCCTTCCTCAGCGCCTCTTATTCCCACCGTGGACTGTGTGACTGCTCAGGGAGCCACGGGCTCTCCGTCTCCTTCCTCTCTGCGCCTTGACCACCACCACTCACTGTGTCCTGGAAGAGGCGCAGCCAGAGGCAGGCTGGGTCCCCAGCATTCCTTTGCACGCCTGCTCTTCCTGCTCTCTGCTAC